CATTTATTTATTCTTTTTTTTTTTTAAATTCATTTATTCATTCATTTATTTTTCTCACACATCTAGTGCAACACTCTATAATCTAGCACTAGCATCGGCACTGATGGTGGTAACTGACGAACATGGGGTGGGGGAGAAGGTTGGGGGGCGTGCAGGGGATTGAGAATACTTTTGACAATTTGTATAAAACAACCAAATCATACCATGTGATATTCAAAATAGAGAGACTTAAACATGAAAACGTTTGACTAGTAAAGCATTCTATTATAGAACAATGGCCTTAAGCAGGGTCCCTAACCTTGGGTCATTGTATAGGTATACGACCTTTTTTTCGCTCTCCAGCGTTGTTGAAAGGGGGGGGGGGCTCCAAATTTAGTATCCATCTCCCATAGACCACGCCAAACAGGTAAATAATATACTTCAAAACTTCCCCAAAACGAACCAAGATCAGAATACTACGTTGGAGGATCAAACCAGGACCATCCACCCCTTAGTCCAGCTTGATACCAACCGATCTAATGATGCAACCCTAACAACGTGGATACAATCAATCAACTTTTAACCGTCCCAGTTCAGTTAAGTTTTAGTAAGAGTTTTACCACACTTGCAACACAATAAGGTCACATAGGTGCCGAAAATTAGAAATGTTACCAGACAGAAACAAACCCAAAAAGAAGGAAGAGAGAGAAAGGACGATAGATGTTTGATAGAAAAAAAAAAGAAGCAAATCACCTCAAATCACCCGCCAACCACCCACCGTCCCAGTTTGATTGATACCCGACTCTTCGACTTAGTTCTATTTAGTTGCGCGTCACCTTCAAGATAACCTCAGATTTCTGCAGAAAACCAGTCGTCCGTGACGGGAACTTATGCTCCTGGTGTGAATCTAAATAGAAACAGGAACGTTTTTTACGCCTTTAACAGACCTTTGATGGCATCTTTTTGTCAAGCCGCCGAGCGAGCGAGTTTTTGAATTTTGCATGTTTCAGAATGAGATACAAGGGAATGGGGTTTCTGAGGTCCTAGAAGTTGGGAGCGGAATCATATCTTTGGCTACCTTTTTTTCACGCTTCCATTGGCGAGATTTTGAGTTTTTGCTTATTTCAGAACATAATGATATGGAGCGAGGTTACATAGAACTAGTTTTTTTTCAAGTTGGAAGCTGGTTCAATAGCTGTAGCTTAATGCACTGTGTGAGTTTTTGTCGACTCGTGGGAACATGGCGGGTTCACGTTGGTTTTTTGCTTGGCATACGTCTATATTTCGAGAGACGATGCCTTCTACTTCTAGTTCTGGAATGGGGTTATGTATTTTTCAGGTTCTGGGGAATGTGTTTTACTCATTGTGTGAGTCTAAAGCGGTTCTGTAAACAAATAGGTCATTTCAAATGTTAACACACCAGCCTCTACATTGGAGCGGTTTGGCGGGTTTTCGTTGCGTGCAAAAGACTAAGTCCAATTCCTCT